CAAAGACAGCGGTACCGGCACAGTACACTGAACTGACCTGTGGTAAAAATAAATAATAAATTAAATATTGTATTTTTAAAATTAGTGAAAATAGCTTTTAAATTTAAAAGCTTAAACTTAAGGACGTATTTATTAAAATTTCATCATTCATGCAACTTCGGTCTATGCTAGAAGTTAGAATACATGGCTCTCCTGTCAAATTCGGACGAAGAATAAAAAGCCTTGGACGACTTAGAGTTCTCTCCCTTGGCTGCACTGCAAACAGTGATCGGAAAAGCCAACGAAACAAACGACACACTTACATATCATCATACGGTTGCATGTAGGGCTGCGTACGGTTGCGTGAGGCATCGTGAAGGGATGTGTGGTCATCATATGGTTGCGTGCAGGGCTGCGTACAGTTGCGTGAGGCATCGTGAATGGTTGTGTAGTCATCATGCGGTTGTTGGGTTAGAGTTAGGGGTAGGGTTAGGGCTAGGGTTAGATGTGAAAATTTTGACGTAGGGTTTCGAAAAACTGGCCGACAATCTGATGTTTGTGGGCGTGGCGCCACTGAAATTCTGCTAAATATGACGCCAATAGTGTGCGGCTGGTGCCCAATCGTTGGCGAATTGTGCGTTTGAGCAGCATCCAGAGGCCCTCAATTGTTTTTGTGTGTATGTGACTGTGTACGGCGTCGACCAAGTTGGTCTGGTGGACTACTACCTCGTGCAGATAGATGCCATGCCGTAAGTTTGCCACGTTGCTGTAGCCTCGCCAAGCGTCAGTCACGATAGTCGTTCCCGGCAACTAAGTCGTGTGTCGGAAGACCAATGTTAGTTATGTGAGTGCGTCTAACTGCCATGTTGCTTTTGTCGTTTGTTTCGTTGGCTTTTCCGATCACTGTTTGCAGTGCGGCCAAGGGAGAGAACTCTGACTAAGTCGTCCAAGGCGTTTTATTCTTTGTCCGGATTTGACAGGAGTACCGAAGACATCAAGAAGATCAAATTAATCATTATATTAAAATAATAACATAACCCTTAATAATTAATTAACTATTTTTATAAATGTCTCTTCTCTGCTCTTCCGGACCTGACCTAACAGTAATATAATTATTAGTAATATTTATTAAATTTTTAGTGGGTTAATTTACTGTACATATTAAATAATAGTATCTAATAACACTTTAGGCACTCTTCCAAACAACGGCCCCTTATTATTGACTGTCCAAAACATTCCTTTCAGAGCCTCAAGGGGTTACAAAGAGGTCAAGGGGTTATAAAGAGGTTATACAAAATATGGAAGAGTGCCACACTTTATTTTGATTAAAATGTTAGGAGCATTATGTACTATTCAATTACTTCAGTACTATATTATTAGTAATTTGACTTAAATTCTTCCTATTGTAAAGTCTGTAGGGTGTAGAGTGACAGGAAAACTGGTCAGGGGCGGTGGAACCTGGGAGCTCTTGCCCCTCTAGCCTCTTCTCATAAAAGTTTTATGGGGGGGAACAGTCCCAGCAGATTTAGTATCAAAGGACCAAGGGGTGGCAATGCAATTTTGAAATGTCACAAGCATAATACACTCACCATGCAACATAAACATTATAATCAAAGTGACCTGAGTCTGTATAGAAATAATATTAGAATACTGCTACAACAAATAATTGGGTTAGTAGTTCAATATTAGAAATAAACAGACAAACATGTTTAGATAAATTAGTAAAATGAAACGATAATTTGTCCATCATCACACTCAAGGGAAACTTTATAAAATATATCAAGAACACTTGTAGGAACAGTAAGAGTTATGCTTGTGTGGCTAATGTCTCTACATGGTGTCCCATAAGTTTCTATGTTTAGGGGGAAATTTTTTTAAAATGTAAACTATTTTTTATTTATATCAGAACACTTAAAAGAACAGCTGGAGTTCTACTTGAAATGGTGTTTATGGTATATTTATTTTTATGGTGTATGGAAGACTATAGGGAGTCACCGTGGCAAAGCGGCTAGATGCTCGTGTGCGGATCGGAAGGTCGTGGGTTTGCTCCTTGGCGGAGCTGGACTTTTTTAAAAAATGACCTTGACTCTCAGGTCGACCCAGCCTTAAGTGGGTACTAAATGCAGTCCAGGGAAATAAAGGCGGCCGGCCTGATGCTCACCACATCACCCATCTTGTGGCGATGATTGGTGTATAAAAACATAGGTCTAGCCCAATATATACCCTATACATACGCCTAGAGGCTTGGAAAAGGGATCTTTACTTTACTTTACTATGGAAGACTAGAACATCCTGGATATGCCCCAACGCTGCAGTCCATTATCCCCCATAGTGTCAGTATAATTCTTCTTCTTCTTTTGTTGTCTCAGTAATACCAAGTTGAAGCCCAGCGTCATGGTTGTTTGTATTTGTCTTGCACTTCTGTGATGGATTTATTCAACTTTTTGCATCAGTATAATTGATTGTTATAAAAATAGATGAATTTTGTTGTTTCAGTGATCCAGAGAGCTGCGCTGTTGATATTTCTCCATTCAATTCCATCCTGTACAATCTTTTGGATATCTTGTATGCTATTCTTTGTTAACTGTTTGGTTATATGGGTTTTCAGATGTTGTGCTACAGTATTGGGTTATGTTTTTGTTACATAAAGGTTTGATATGAAAACAACTTACAGTTTTATCCTACTTTTCCTCAAGACCTACATTTTCAGCTTTAAGAAGGGTGGTCAGAAAATGTAAATATATAATGCTTATCTAATACTGTTCAGCCATTGTGTGATTATGTCAGGTGACATTTTTATCTTTTGCTGTGTTTCTGCTTACTGTGAAGGCTTGTCACTGTAACACACTGTTTTTTTTTTCAAAGTGTTCCTGTGATGCAGACCTTCTGTCAATTATTTATTCATTCATTTATTCATTCCTTCCTTCCTTCCCTCCTTCCTTCCTTCCTTCCTTCATTCATTCATTCATTTATTCTTTGTCTTATTATTCCATATATGTCACAAAAAGTCTCACAATCGATTTCTCCATTCCATTCTGGCATGTGCAATCACCTCAATATCATGCATGGACTCCATTTCACAACCTTTGATCAATGTTTGTCTTATGATTTCTCTTAGACATCCTAATTTCCTCATCCTCTGTGCATTTGTTTAAAACCTTTTGTACTTTTAATTCTTCCTGTTATTTAGAACAGTTGGAACAGTGACTACACAATATACTTTATTGCAAAGCTCCACACAGTTTAAAGACAAGGGTTATTAACCATTTCTATCTCAAGCATTTGTTACATTTACCTGTTATATCCCAGTTTAAAATCAATAAATGCTTGTATCCAAAAGACTCCAACAGACACACTATTTGACATCAGTAGTTAAACTAGTATTTCAAATACTCATAGTTTTCATATTTCTTCTTCTTCTTCTTCTTCTCTTCCACTTTGTACCTCATCGAAGTGTCGGGGGGAGATGTAATGTTCGTTGATGAGCTCTGTCAAGAGCACTATTAAGGCTGATGTTCATTTCTGTAAGGCTGTTCTTAATGCCATCACTCCATATTTTCCGAAGTCTTCCTCTCGCTCTATACCCGTTGTAACGTTTTAGTGTGGTTCGCTGTGGCAGATAGTACCAGGGCATTCTTGTTAGGTGTCCAAACCACTTCATTTGTTGTTCTTTAATGACCTGTAAGACTGGCCTGGCTTTATTCCTAGCATTCATCTGATTTCATGATTTCGTATTCTGTCTTTCCTTGAAACTCCTGCAGCTCTTCTAGGGCATTTCATCTCGGTTGTCACAATTTTACATTCATTGGAGGATGTAAGTGTCCACGTTTGGCATTGATAGCATAGTGTTGGTCAAAAAATAGTTCTGATAAGATTCACTTTAGTACTCCGAGGTATCTGCTTGTGTGTCAACAGGGGAGATAGTTGCCCCATTGCTTGATTAGCTTTGGCACATGTGGAGCTAATTTCTCTGTCCAGTTTTCCGTCGGATGTGAAAATTGCTCCCAAATACTTCAATTCCTCTCATATGACTGTCTATTATAAAAGACAGGAACATTATATTGTCTTTAGATAGAGAATGACCAAAGTACTACTTGCTGTGATTGTAGCAGAATCACAAGGCATGCTGAGAGAGGTGGGGGGAAAGCATATTCCATACAGTTGCAAACATTGTTTCAGATGTTCACTGGTAGTTACCGTCCATTTTCTCCAGGGTATTAAGGTAAATGAACAGACAGGCAGATTGGTTGGTTCTATAGGCAGATTGGTTGGTGCTCTACCATTGAGTGTTAAAAAGCTAAATGTAGTCAAGCCCTTTTGGAGCCATTGGACAATGTTGAAGCACAAGTAGATCATTACATTTTGGAGAGAACAGTGCAGTGGGGAAATGACCAGGGGATCTGATCTACACTCGGCAGAAAGACAAGATGGACATATAATCAAACTACTGCTGGTACTGAGTAGCAGCTGGCCGAGCGATTACAACATCAGGCTCGCATGAGGGAGTCCTGAGTTTGACCAACAGTAATGTGATAGCGTTTTTCTGCCTTCTTCTTCTTTAGCATTCCAAGCCCTTGAGGTTCATTACTGCAGATATCACCTGCCTCCACTCATCTCTCTGGTTGGCCTTCTCTTTCCATTTAGTGACACCAAGTGTTTGCAGGTTGTTCTGTCAAGGGGGGGAAAAAATGAAACATCCTAACCTGCTCAGTCTGTGGTGACAGCACTAGCCAGGGGACCCTAAATCCTCTGGCTTAAGGCCCCCTCCCTGTTTACACCGCCTAAAAAGTGGTAAAACAGACAGTTACTACCATCATGTTGAACTGTCAGAATCTGAACTCTTTACTGGCTGCTGAAGATGAGAGTGGAGCTCTATGGAATATGCTGAGTGCTGTCATTTCAGTTCTTGACTCAAACTAACTCTGGAATAACCAATTAGTGTATGGTGAACTGCCTGGTATTGAAGGAGTAAATCATCTTGTGGTAAATATTCTCTGTTCACAGATTTAAAAAGGATAGAAATGGGTGTTGAAGAGGATCTGCAGTCGATTCTGCAAATGCAAGTGGTTCCTATTAAAGAGGGGATTGATGTTCAAAGTGATTCTCAGTCACAGCGTGAGTACCTCTATTTTTTAGGGAAAAGGGGGGGGGGGGATCACCTTCTGTTTTAGGTTGCTGTGCTAACCTGATGATTCTTCTTCTTCTTCAGCATTCCAAGCCCTTGAGGTTCATTGCTGCAGTATCACCTGCCTCCATTCATTTCTCTGGTTGACTTTCCCTTTCCAGTTGATGACACCAAGTGTTTGCAGGTCTTTCTGGACATTATCACTTCGTCTTCTTGATCTGCTGCCTCGTGGTCTGAGACCACTGAGCTCCCTTGTATACACAGTTTTTACCTCTCTGTCGTAGCCTGGTGAATATGTGATAAAATTTGCATCGAGGTTGATTAAAAATAAAAGTAGATCCTGTCTCCCATGTTTGTCCATCACTTACTGTTTTCTCTCTAAGGGGTCACTGTGGCAAAGTTGTCGGGCTGCTTGCTACACGCTGTGAAGGTCACCATTGCAGTTTTTTTTTTTACACATAACTCCGAGAATAATCGCTGGAGCTATGGAGTTTATGCTTTATATGGTACTCTCTGTGGAGAGAGACCAAACCATTGGATAACTCTGTGCTGTGAAGTCAGTTATTGTTATCTGCTCACTCTTTTCACTGTCTGCCTCCTGCTTTACTACCTTCAGCATTTCCCTCTCGTGTGTGTTTTAAAAAAAAGAGTGTATTATACATAATTTTCTAGAGGGGTTCCAGGACCCTGGGGAAGAAAGGGGCTGGTGGAAGGGGTGGGCGTGTCAGGGAGTAGACTCACTATACCTCTGAACAAGCATATCATCAAAACAGATTAGTGAGGGTGTTTTGCATTTAGACGTGTCGGATCACAGTACAGATTGCACAGCCTAGCTGTAACCCACAGCATAATGTGCCAACCACTCTTTCAAGGGTGAACAAAGAAAAAGTGTACGTAATATGTTTGTTATGTAAAATATTTGATATGCCAATTTGTCTCCCATATTTAATACGTAATCCTGCCTCCCCCAGAAGCCACAAAACCGACATTTCTGGGTGTGTCTAATTCCCAGTGCATGTCACTTTTCAGACTTTTCTGCAGTGATGTGTTTACGAGAAGCATAGTCATTGCTATTGAAGCTGTTATCCTCTGTTGATGAAGGTTCTCTGCAGTTAGAACTTGTGGACATCCAGAGTCCCAGTGCACTGAATAAAGATTTTTAGGAAAGTGGTACAGTTAGGTTTTGGTCCAAAGGGATTCAACAGGAGCAGTTTCCTAATGCTAGAAAAGTTGCTGTATTCATACTCACTATGTTTGGTTCAACTTTCACTTGTAAATTTAGCTTTTTACATGTGAATGTCATCAAGACAAACAGTCGGAGCTCATTGGGCAGTGATAGACTGCAGAATTGTATGAGAATTGCTCTGACTTTACACCAGCCAATTTGTAGAAAATTAGCTCTGAAAATGGAAATGCAACCTTTCTTATAAATTACATTTTGCATCATTATAACTTTCCGTTTCTTCTGCACAAAGCCATACAACGAACTGTGGACAGTTATTTTTTATTAATAAGATCATGACAGTTGGATTGACAATGCTAACGTTTAGTTGTAATTCCAATAGCAAGTTGGAAAATATGTGTATTTCAGTTAAAAATGAGAATTAACTAATCATTACAAAAGATTGTACTACGCTTTACATTATAATGGTTTACAACACTGTTTCATTTATATCACAATAGGCTATGTCCTAGGTTTAACAAATGAATAGTTTATTAAAGCTATGCATTGAAAATGTTGTTAATTCTATTGTGTTAATAATCTTTCCACACTTAGGCTCGGGTCACTGGCCCGCGACAATCCTTTTTTTCAGCATTTTGGCCCGCGAGTAAACTTAAGTTAAATAGCCCTGCAAAGTATGAACAAAATCATGCACAAGAGTTAGATTCATCTTTTATTTATAACTTTTCTTAACTACAGAGTTTGTTCCAAAAACGAAAGTCAGCATGTGTTATATATGTGGAACTGTGTTGTTCGACGAGAAGGGCCAAGTGTTGCTGATTCAGGAAGCCAAGAAATCTTGCCTGGGTACTTGGTACCTCCCTGCAGGAAGGCTGGAACCAGGGGAGACAATTATTGTAAGTCGCGGTGGATTTTTTATGTGTGAGATGTTAGTTTTCTTAATATGATTGGAGAAAATAAATTATCTGAAACATAGAGAACAGCTCAGATAGTTACTAATGAGCTACAGACATTCATCAATTAGTGCCTGCACAAAATAGAGACAGTTCTATGGTGTGACAAAATCACTTTTTTTAAAGCTTTGGGGAGAAATTAACAAGTTCCAGTGAATCAGGAGGTGAGGAAACGATACTGGCTCTGGATAAGATACATATTAATATCTGATAACACTATAATTTATTTGCACTGGAACCCACTGGGTCAGAGGAATAAAGGCAGGCTCTCCAAAAAATATTGAAAAAGGAACTAGAGAGGGAAATTAAAACGATGAGGAGGATGTGAGTTGCCTATGATAAAAAAAGCTAGGATGAGTTTGTGCAGGTTTGTTACAGGCCTAAAAAGGGGGATAGGGGATAAAGGGTAAAAGAAGAAGAGGAGTTCGGCTCTGGACTGAAAACAAACTAATAAAGGGTTGTCAGAATATTTTCCCCCTTACTTTTCTTTAATATAATTGAACTTGAAAGGTAAAGAACTCTTTCATTCTCAGAAAGTTGTACAGGCTGTGTCCAAGACATGAAGAACTGTAATGAAAAATAAAAATGAGTTACATTTAAGGTTGCTAAAACACAACAAACTGGCCACCATGGAGGCTATATTTCTTTAGCATGTTCAGACCAAATGTAAAAATTAGGAGAATTTATTGCACCAAACCGCCATAGTGTTGGGAATGTATGAGTTAAGTTAAGTAAAGTGAGGATTAACCATTCAGCCGATGGTGAGTTGTTCAGTACAGCACGGGTTAATACTCAGCATGTTAAACTGTTGTATGAGTTTTGACTTCTTATCTTTTCAGGAAGGGGCAAAGCGAGAGGTAAGGGAGGAAGCAGGCCTTGAGTGTGATTTGACAACACTGCTGTGCATTGAAATAAATAGTTATAAGTGGATGCGGTTTACATTCCTTGGCAAGATCACAGGTAGGATGTGCGTTGCATGTGAAAAGATTTGTATGAGTTAATGAACAGGTGTCTGGTGGTCTAAAAGCTGCCTTGATCAGTCTGTTTTTAGCTTGTCGTCCTAATTGTGGCCAAGGTCACATGACTTTAGCAGTATTTTTCCTGACTGTTAAGTTTGGACTGTCATGCTGATGATGATGATGGCATGTGTTGACTCAGCATTGATGCGTTGCTTGAAGTAGAGTGTCTACAGTTATGGCACCTGCCTCTAAATGTTTAATTTTGAATTAAAAAACTACATCACACTACTCAGGACACTCCCATAAATGCTGCCACCCCCAACTTCAGCAGCAAACAAAAAGTTCCGATGGCATCAGTAACTGCCTGATTTTTTTATCCATTTCGCCTTTCCTCTGAGTGTTCAGCATCGGCCAGATCCCCTGGCAACTCCTCACAACGTCATTCTCCTCAGACCTTAATAGTTTATTTGTGCCTGCGCTCTGTTCACTTGCTTCCAAAGGGCTGCCATAAAATCTGGCTTGTCATACATCAATTTGTCACCAAGTGGTGCAGAACTGGCCAGACTTTCTGCTTGCTTGTTTCCCAACACACTGGCATGACCTGAAGTAAATATCCAAAGGACGCTAATTGCCTGAGATTCTGCAGCACAATCTGGCCAATCCCTGCCTCTAAAAAGGTCTAGTGGTGAAAACAGGGATGACTGCAGTCAAATACCAAGAAATCAATCCACTGGACTGTGACTGAGAAACTTAAAGAAGTGGGGAAGGGAAACAACATACAACACACAAGAAAAATAGGATGTTTCAGCTGGAACCTTCCTCGACAAAAACCTCTTTGCCTCTTGTGTTCTTTAGTAAGTAAAAAGTAAAAGTAAAGGATCCTTTTGCATGCTTTCAGACATTTTGGGCATATAGGGCTAGACCTATATTTTATAGACCAATTGGCACTTGGTGGGAGATGTGGTCAGCGTTACACCGGCCGCCTTTACTTCCTAGAACTACACCTGGCACCCACTCAAGGCTGAGTTGACCTGACAGGCGAGGTCGTTTTTAGAGGACCCGAACCCACAGCCTTCTGATCCGCAGGCAAGCTTCCAGCTTGTTCTTGGGTAGATTAATCAAAAGGTTTAGGTTTATATCCAGCGGAGAGAATGGCAGATAACATAGAGACTGTTCATACAGAAAGTTGAATGGTAGTAGACCAAACAGATGGTGGGGAAATAATGTACAGACAGGCCTACAAACACCTGGAGTCACCAACTGGAAAGAGAAGGCCAACCATAGAGATGAGTGGAGGAGGGTGATGTCTGCAGCAATGAACCTCAAGTGCTCAGAATGCTGAAGAAGAAGTAGAAACCATACATTGCTTTTTTATTGAATTTTTCTGAAGAAAAATAATCTGTTAAAATCTAGATAAGATTTCAAATGTTATTTTTTTCCCACAAGAACCTAGACATACTGCACATTAATGCCAAATTGATCTTTTTAGACAATATCCAAATATACGATGTCCAGTTTGAACATTGTTAATTATTTTTGTTGTTGTTGAGAAAAGCAAAGTCTATGTGCGCACTTCACACTACACAATCTGTTGGCAGTGAAAAATTGGGAAGAGTGAACTATATGAATCACTGTCAAGAAAAAGTCATGGTTGTTAGAAAATCTTTCATTTTAATAGTTTGTTTTGAAGACTGAAACAAGCTTGTTTCTTAAAATGCTATTGTTCTAAAAATGCTGCTAAGTTCTGGAAATTTCTTGTTGTCAAGTTGGATGGATGGAGGCACAAATATCATGGCATAGAAATAGACAAAGCACCACCAAAATACTTTGGACATGAAAACAGTCGGAATAACTACATAAAAGATAGTAAAATATCACAACATCCAAGAGTAGAAGAGGAAAGAGTATGACTTCTTACATTTCACTGACTCTAAACTCTGGTGGAAAGTCCTGGTTGTTCATCCATTTTTTGAACGTGGCCTTGCTCCAGGGCTTGATTGTTCTGTGCACACCAGTTTTACAGAACTGGCTTATGTATGTGACTTTTTACATTTCACTGACTCTAAACCCTGGTGGAAAGTCCTGGTTGTTCATCCATTTTTGAACGTGGCCTTGCTCCAGGGCTTGATTGTTCTGGGCACAACAGTTTTACAGAACTGGCTTGTGTATGTGCAGTCTGTTTGTTCCTTGCCTTTCATGCAGATGTACTGCAACTTCGAAGGAAACATCTATGTTTCATCAGGTCTAGGGGACCTGTTTAAAGGATGACTGCCAAGAGGTGTAGATATCTCTTGACCAGTGCGAGTCCTGGCCCTTGTGTCCCACCATGTGTGATTCAGAACCTGTTCATTTTGAGTTGTGACAGAGTGAACAATATTTATAACATAAGTAATCTTATCTTGTGTATGAAAGCACATTTTGAATAATATGTTTTATGTGAATCTGCAACCATGACCAAGTTAAAAGGGGTGGGGCCAGACAAGAGCACTATGCAGGAAGCCAGAGAAGAATATGAAACCAACACAGAATTGGTGTAGTCATCTGTTAGATGCTGCAAGATTTACTGAGGACAGGATTCGAGTACTTATGGCTTAATTGATTGGATGTTGGGTGAGGATAATATGTTGACTAATTAACTAACATAGTGTATTATGTGTGGGATTTATTTCACACAGGTGGAAGACTAAAGACAGTAGATGAGAAAGATAATGAATCTTTACAAGCAAAGTTTTTCAGTAAAGAAGATCTGCAACAATCTCAGTCCTCTCTCAGGTATGTCCATAGTTGTTTTAGTTTTACAGTAAACTTGGAAAGGGACCTGATTTATGAATGCAAATAAAATGCTAGGCCTTTATCTATACTTCTTCTTTGACATTCTAGGCCCCTTGGGATTCATTCCTTCATATATCAGGCCCCTCCATTTATCTGTCTTATTGGCCGTCTCTTTCTAGTTGGTAATTCCATGTGTTTTTAGGCGTGCCTGTATTTCATCTCTCTACCATCTTCTTGGTCTGCCTTATAGTCTGCTGTCACTCAACTCTTGTGTGTGCAGAGTTTTTATCTCTCAGTAATTTGCTCTACATAGACTAAATCAGTAGTTTAGGTAAACACCTGTAAACCTCTCTTATTTTCTGGCCACAGACCCCATAAGTCATTTTAAAAATAGAAAACAAAACAGAAAAAATTATTAGAATTGCAACAGAAAAAAAAATTGGGGGGGGGGGGGGGGGGGGGGGGGGGGATCGTTTTGTGTGTGTGTGGTATGTAAGTGATAAGAAGGAGACAGACAAAGTTCTTTGATCATGTGATGAGAAAAGGAGCCTTGGAAAATATCATGACGACTGGAAAGATCACTGGTAGAAGAGGCAGACTAAGAGAAATGATGTTGGATGGTTTAAGACAGAGGCATGGAGGAATATCATCAGTGGAGTTGATTAGAACACCAAAGATTGAGATCTGTGGAGATGCATGAATGCCTACCCCAGCTGGGAAGGTACTTGTTGAAGATGAAGTGATGTCACAGACCTCTTAAATTTGATTTGTTCGACGGACTCAGGGATCTGCTGACCACCGGTTGTGAGCTACTGTACTTGATAATTATAAGATGTATGACTGCTTGCCTTCAGTGCTGTCTTTCTATTACTTAACAGATATATATAATACCTTTAGAGTATTAACTCTTTCACATTGGTGCTTATCATGTCAAGATAAAAGATGCAACATTTTAAGGATTTCACAGATAGTGTTGGAGTTACATGGGATAGGATGGTCATTGCATTCCTCATTCCAACTTAATCTTCTCCAGTTGACAGCAAAACCAGAAACAACTTGTTTTATGCCACAACTTCACCATTTAGCAATTGCATTCAAGCACAGTTTAGTTCTGAACTAATAATCAGATATTACTGACTCATTCTGTACTAAGAAACTTACACATGTGAAAAGTAGAAGACCTATTCCCCCCCCCATTCCCCCCCCCCCCCCCCCCCCCCCCCACCCCCCCCCTCCCCCACCCCCCTGAATTAGTCTTTCATGATATGGATTCTCTGTCTGTTCTGTTGCACTGTCCACTTGATCCCAGAGATTCTTCACCACGTCAAATTCATCATGAAGTGGCTCACTACCAAGAGGAGCAGAAGCAGCTAATTTTTCAGCCTACCCCTCATTACTCCCCACACCTGAATGTCCTGGATAGAAAATCGATATGCTGCTGATCTGAGTTTTATCAGGTGATGCAAACCCTCTTCTTCAGGTGGGTTTGGGATATGGAACTAACCCAGTATCTCTAGTGGGAAATCAGTTCATGATGAAGGATATGTCCATGTTGCGCCACATGCTTTTATGTTCCAGAATATTTCCTGGTACTTATTTTGGGTTTTAGTCAGTTTTAAGATATACAATGCCTGCTAGCCTGTAGTTCTTGGGTTTGAATCCACATCGAGTCAGATTTGGTTTTTCTGGAAATGACCTAGGCTCTGAGGTCGTGACCTAGCCTAAAATGAGTTAACAGGTAAAGTCTTGGGAAGTGAAGGCTACTGGCATGATGTTGTTCATATCATCCATTGAATGCTGATTGGTTAATACAGATATAATAAGCATTTATGTTCAGAAAAAAAAAATACAGACTTCTTTTTGTCTTACTTTTTTTTAAAACAGACATAACGATATATTGAAACTGATAGAGTTAGGCAGAAAGTATCTGGAAGCTAGTTCATCTCCCTCATTGAATATGCTGCCTGTGATAGCTCCGCACAAACTGTTAGTGCACAGAGTGGTTATAATTGATCGTTCTTTGGCAAGGTCAGTTCATGCACAAGTACAATCTTTCATTTATACATACATACATACATACATACATACATACATACATACATACATACATACATACATACATACATACATACATACATACATACATACATACATACATACATACATACATACATACATACATACATACATACATACATACACACACACAGACACGCATGCATGCTGGTATACATACGCAGGCACACACATACACACAATATTTATGTTTCATGAAGTAGTTATAAATGTTTTGTTGACATAGTTTTCATATATTTTCCTTGATACAATAGGTAAATTATATAAACAGTTATTTATTTGTTTGTATTTGTGTCTTTTTTTTTTTTTTTTAATATTGTCTTTGTTTGTAGCTTTGCTTATCTAAGAGAAGATTGTCTTTAGAACTATATAAACATTTTGTGAGTTTTGTGCTCGTATATTACCATATTTCCTCAAGTATGATATGATCCCATGTATAAGGCGCACATTGACTTTGGAACTGGGAATTTAAAGGAAAAATTAATGATTACATTTAATTTTTGTCCCGTGTGGGTTTGGGGCCCCATTGTGGGGAAAGCAAGAATAGACCCCAACAAGCATGTCGTAAGAGTCGACTAATGGGGGGTTTTCTTCGTAGTCGGAGCGCATCTGCCTGAGAGGCAGCAGTCTGCCTACAAATAAGTCAGATTTGTAAAACAGACATGCATGCAACACTCAGGTTCTGGAGCAAGTCTAAAGTCCAGAGGTGGATGAACAGACATAACTTTCTGCTGGAGTTTACAGCCAGTGAATGTAAAGAAGAAGAAGATAAAGTGATTGAACTCATTTTTTTTTTCTTCATCATAGAATCCTGAAAACTCCTTATCACTGTCAAAACTCTCATCCATATGATAGTTCTTTAGCTTGTCTGTGTCTGATGATGAATCACTCTCTCCATATATTGTCTCATCCTCAGTTTCATCTGTGACATTTAAAATGCCACACTTCTTGAATGACTTGACAATGTTCTTAATCTTCACAGTATTCTAGGATCTTTTCACCGAGGTACACACTTCTCTAGTTTGTGTCCTCACACTGTCTGCTGGTGTTAGATCAGTTAGTTGACTCCTGTGACACACTTGTTGATGAGGCAGTGGGTCTATTCTTGTTTTCCCCACAATGGGGCCCCAGAACCCACATGGAGAACAAGTCCTGGGAAGTAAAGATGGCAGGCATCTTGTTGGCCACATTGCGAGAGGCAACTGGTTTAAGATCCTGTGGGTGTAGCACCATATATCTGATGCGCCAAAAGTTTGAAGAGGGTCAGTTAAATTTAATGTGAATGAATCAGTGAATAAAGAATTGACCTGACTGCACTCGGGACATTCCGATAAATGCTCTGTCACGTACTTCAGCAGCCAACTAAGAGTTGATGTGCTATAGTACCAGTTGCAACCTGATTACAAGTCTGCTAAAGTTTCCCCCTCAGTGTTGAATATCTTCCAGAACGAGGCCCCCCCCCCCCTTCCCCAGCACCCCAACATCCTATTGTATTTTTTTTCTCTTCAATTTATGGATTTCTGTTCCTCTTTCTTAAATTGAATTTTTAATGTATATAATTTACAGCACACAGGCAATACATTTACTAGCAAGGAAAGGAAGTGATAACCACATCCCAACAGCTCTAATCAACCACAACAAAGAAGCTTCCATTGCTGTGTCTGTGTACGCTATTTTGAGGGTAAGAAATAACATCACTTGGCTCGCTACAGTAACTTGTAATTCTGCGGTGCCAGATGTGATCCTGCTGCAGGCTATTAGGCAGAAGACCAGTCGCCTTGTGTTGGTTTCGACAGTGGTAACAAGGGCTGACCATTCAGTAGCAGTAGCAAATTACTTTAAGTGAAATCACCTAGTCAAACCACAAGCAGCCAGAAAACATGCTGGGTTGGTTCTGCACCATCCTGTAAAACAGGCATGTCAACCATAAGGCCCGCGAGCTGCTTGCGGCCTTTTGCAAGCACACCTGCAGCCGGCAGTAAAAAAAAGTCTGTGATAATCTTTAATAAACGGCTATAAATAGTCGTCATAGGTGTGGCCCTCATGACAGCACAAATGTGACACACATGGCCCTTGGGAGAAGCTTAGTTTGACCTTCCTGCTGTAAAGAATAAGCAGCTAACAGAAGCTATCTTGCTGCTTCATTTAATGCTGCTAGGAACACAGGAAACTGCTGCTTTTGATGAGGAGGCTTTTTTTTTATGTTATGAAAGGGAAAAGAAAGTAAAAAGTCTTTTTCTTGTAACTGACATCTCAGGTAAATGATCCTGGACCCATATTTTTATAGAACACTCAGCTTTCAATGGGTGATTTGGTTAATATCGTATCAGTTGCCTTTACTTCCTAGGACATTTCCTGTAGTCTTAAGCTGGGTAGACTCTTAGGTCAGTTATAAAAATCCACTTAAAGCAGATTGGAACTTAAGACCTTTTGGCTGGGAAGCAAGAGTACCACAGTTTCTGTCTTCTGTGTTGTGTGTGTCTTTTTTCTTCATGTTCACCGGCTGGAATTCTTGACAGAAAGTTATGGTTGTTCGTCCACTTCTGGACTTTAATCTGGTTCTGAGACTTGAGTTTTACATGAAGATCTGTTTTACAGATCTGGTTTATTTGTTTGCAGACTATTGGTTTCTTGCCTTTCAGTCAGATGTACTCCATCTTCTAAGGAAACACCCCTAATAAGTTACCTTTTTATGACATGCTTGTTGAGTGTGTAAATAGTTTTGCTTATCTGTTGTTAGGAAGACCAGCTCATGGTCAGTGTGATACTGCTGGGACTCTGTTTAAGTGAGGAAGGGGGAGGGTTGAAGTCTGGTCTGTTTAGTCACAGAGTTATATAGCAGAATGCTTATACCTGTGTTCTGTATAAAGATGTGTGCAAGTTGGACATGAATGATACATGTATTAAGGTAGATTCATTTGAACAAAATGCCATTGACCGTGCTGTGTGGAAGGGAGAGGTGGGGAATTAGCAAGGAAATAGGAATACAGGGGGGAAAAATGATTGCAGAAAGGTTGAGAGCTGTGGGTCCGAAAAGAAACACACTAAAACAAGTGATAGCCACTATGGTCCTGCAATCTCTGATTATGGAAGATTTTTCTTAAAGCCGATAGGTCTTGCAAATCATACATGCCGCTGCCATAGGATGTGATTCCTATGCATCCCTATAGCACACTGTCGTCTAGAAAGATACCACCAGTACACATGTTTTGATCAAATTGCTAGCTGTATCAGGATAAACATTTTAAAATGCTAGATCTTAGATAGATAGTTTGTATTATTTGGTTGTTTTAATAATTATAATGGAGGTGTGTTCAGTGAGCCTCTAAAAAATGCCCGCCGACACCCACCCACACACACACACCCACACACACACAGAGATCTAGTTAATGAGTACATTAAGCAGTGTTTTAACCTAGTTGTAAACCACTATAAACACACACAGATAAACTGACACACACAATTATATATGGACACTTTTTCATTGTTTTTGTAACCAGGTTACTAGGCTGTGTTGTGCACTTATGTTTAATTTTATTCCTAATAACAGAGTATACCAGGTACCTAATTTTCTCTAAACTGGAGGAAGAAGCAAGGAAAGAAGCATGCCATCTTTTTCATAATGCTATGTCTTTATAGATATGATCCCTGAATGGGTTCAGGGATCCAGTTTGGAGAACAAAGAATAGACCCACTGCCCCCCCCCCCCCCCCCCCAACAAGCATGGCATAGGAGGTGACTATTTAGGGGCGTTTTCTTCAAGGTCGGAGAGTATCTGACTGAGGGGCAAGGACCAACAGTCTGCCTGCAAATAAGACAGATTTATAAAATAAATGAGCATGCACAAGGTTTCTTCACAACAAAGTGAATAGTGTGTAAGCGCAAATAGATCATTGCGGTCTGAGGAAAATGGCGCTGCGAGGAGTTACTAGAGGATCTTGCCGATGCTCACCACTTAAGGGAAGGGCGAGACAGATATACAGTCAGACTGGTACTGGTGCCATCGAAATTGGAACCCTTTGGTTGCTGCTAAAGATGGGGACGGTACCCTTATGGGGGTGTCTAGAGTAATACGATATCGATTCTTAATGCAACATTCAACAAGGTTCTTGATCAAGAACAAAATCCAGGAGTTGACGAACAACCAAGACTTTCCGCTTTAGTTTACAGCCAGGAAAAGCTAAAAAGAAGAAGAAGAAGATATATTGAAAATCCTTCCAACATTTTGGACACATGCAGTGGCATCTGTTTGTGATTATATCTCTTTATTTACTGTCCCCAGGATGCCTTCACAGCAAACTTTAGTGCAGTGTCTGTCCGAATGTGTGGTGTCTTGGGCATTGAACACAGAGGCACTGGTCCAGATGAAGACGGTATTTGTATCACCAGCCTTGTGAGTCTGGATCTGTCAAATGACCTTCCCCCACCTGCCACAACATCACAGAAATATCTCTGGTGCACGGTTAAACACGCAGACCTGAAAGAGAGGCTAGAACAGGCAACAAAAGGAAAGATTGTTCCATTGCTATAACCTTGAGATTTTCTCAGCTTTTCCTGGGTAATTTTCCAGGTAAATTACCTATTTCAGGTCCATTTTTTAATTTTTAGATCTGATACTTTGATATTCATATAGTTTAAGTGAGATTAAGAGATGAACAGCCATCTGCAGTGGTTTGCCAACTAATTAGAGGGTGTCCTTTGAAGTCAGAATGCATCTGCCCAAGAGGCAAGAAACTAGCAGTCTGCACACAAATAAGCCAGGTCTGTAAAATTAGTGTGCATGCAACAGTCAAGTCCTGGAACAAGAACAAAGTCCAGACGTGAACAAACAGCCAGAACTTTCTGCTGAAGCTCTCAGCCAGTGAACGCACGTGCACACACACACACACACACACACACAAAATCATTCCAGCTTTGAAAGAGACTGTCATATATCGAAAGAGAAGTTGGTTTAACCCTTTCCACCCAAGAGTCTGAAAAACTGACACTTCCAATTTGGTCTAATTCCCTCTAAATGACACTCTTCCAACTTACATAAGATGACCTATTCTTGAGAGGTAAAGTTAATGCTATTGGTTAAGTTCACATCTGCGCAAATGTCTAAGAGGTCAGGATATAGATACATTAACTAGCAATAGCATTTCGAGGGGTTTCCTTTGAGCTAAATGGCTTTTTTTTTTAAACCAAGTTGACATCATATTTTCTTATAAGCCTCAGTGGTAGAGGTCACAAGGTCATGACATGAGTCACCAGATACATGTGTGTATTTTAGGACTCTGGGTTTGTGTTTTTTGATTACTCCTTTCATGTTGAATAGGAAAGATTAGGAAAGGAATCGGGACAAAGCAAAGAAGAAAAAGGATTGCAGACAGGTTAAGAGCTGAGCAATTGAGAAGAAACATCTCAGATCCACATGATTGCAATAATAGTCCTGAAATCCCAAACACTTTTTGGGGAAGATTCTTCTTAACACGAGCCAGTTTTGCTAGTCACACTCACCATCACCATGGGCTGTAGTTCCCATGTCTTCGTATAGCATAATATAACATTGCCATCTGGAAAGACGGAAAGGTGTGACCAAAGGTAATGTTTATTTCATAAGTTTTAGATACTTCCTTGTCGGAACACACCAACCACGACTAGCTCCAGATGGCGGGCCGTGCTGCTGAGGTTACCTGATTGCGCTAACGATGCATTAACGCAGCGATTCTCAAACAACAAATAAACTGTTTTCAACAGTGGCAAGGGAAGGCAACTAAAATTTTAACTTTTAAGTATCTACATGCCTTTTTTAATAATTTCACAATTTTTAGCTGACTTCTTGATTATTGCCGCAACACTCTTGGCATACGCTCAGTTTGAAAACCGCTGCTTTACTGAGGTTAGCCCGACCTGGTGACGTCAGCAGCAAGGCCCGTCAGCTGGAGCTTGTCATGCACCAATGAAATATTTATTACTTGTCTGTATCAGCATCCTAGCACATCGCTATAACCTATTTGTGCTCCATACTTCAGTGTGGCAGCCATCTCAATGTCTTCATGCTCAAGGTACCAAGCAGGAGTTGATTGATGCCTCACAACTGGTTTCTGTGTACTTGTCCTCGTTTAATTCCCATTTCCCATGAGCACAGACCCTTTTGTCTTAGTGGCTCTGGAAAGCAGCCCATTTACTATGTCTTCCCTGTCCATACTTCTTCCACCACCAAGCACTGCAGGTACGGCCAGTTCTGTCTGCTCCTTTATTTCCTTTCACCTCTTTCATATTCTTTCACCCCATTTTATCCCTGTATGTACAGCCAAGATAAATTCTTGAAGCAATACTTCTAGATTTCTTCTTCTTCTTCTTCTGCCTTTCTATCCTCAAATGGAGCATAGGCCCTCAACCAACTCACACCAAGTCGTTCTATCCTTTGCTATTACATAGAGCTCTCCCTCCCCCCTGCCCTAACTTTCTAACTTCATTCTCCAGCTCTCTTCTCCATGTGCTTTTTGGCCTTCCTTTATTAACATTCCAGGTGCCAGTTCTGAAGGTTTTCCTAGCTGAGAGAAGGTATGTCGACAATCCGGACTCCTTTTGGCTTTCTCCACACTTTGTCATACTTCTTCTACTTGAAGAGCCTCCAGTCATCTTGGTTGACTGTGTTTTGCTTGCTTCTTTTTTTTTTTTTGGCTTAGCCACAGATGGTTGGCTATTGTTTTTATGCTTTTTTTTTTTTTTTGGGAATTAGCCACAGATGGTTGGCTATTGTTTTTATGCTTTTTTTTTTTTTTTAATTAGCCACAGATGGTTGGCTATTGTTTTTATAGGATGAAGTAGCCAACCCCAAGCCAAACCCTACCCTCAGTCACCTCTTACGACATGCCTGGTTGGATGCAGTGTCAGTATTCTTTGCTTCCTGTGAGGGCCCCAGTGACACACGGGCAATGCTCTTAGCCCATTCTAATCAGAGTTTGCTAATTGGACCTTCTTATTAAACACACTCATTGAATCTATTCGCTGACAATGTGGTAGCTGCTTTCTGTTCTGCCAGCCATGCAAGTGCTCCTGTGACAGATGCTATCTCCATCATCATACTAAAAGTAGTTGAACTGAAATGCTTTAGTATTTGTGTAAATAACTTTTGTATTTGTTTATGTATTGATTAATTTGATTGCTTCTTATTTTCTGCAAAACAGTATATCTAGTTAAAAAAGTGTTGTGTTTTTTCCTCAGATTATGGGACCGTATCAATAGTACATCTTGATTATGTACTCAGCAAAGATGAAGCAGAAGATTCCATTCAGTATTCAACTTTTAAACCTTCTGCAAGTTAATTTTTATAATTGACTGTTTGGGCCGCAAGATTTTTCTCGTTTATTTTAGAGTAGAAAAGAGCTTTGTAGCGTGAGAGAGAAAGGTCACATACAAGCTGACATCAGTATATACATTTAGCCAAAAATATTGAAGTACCAGGTGTCCCATAAGTTTCTATACATACAAAGAAAAAAACTATTATCTCAGAAGTCGCTTGTAGTGGGAGATCACTCCACAGGACCACACTGACCTGTCCAAGCATCTGGACATGGCTTGTCTAACCATTGACACAGTTTTTTTTTCCTCTGTATGAAATCTTACGGGACACCTGGTATGTTCATGCTGTTCCCTTTGTTGGCAAGAGAATACTTAAATACTTTTTATTTTTACCTTTATTTTTAAGTGTGATAATTTTTAACTTGCTACGTGTGATATGTGATATTTTCCTCAGGTTCATTATTTATAATAGTTCCAAGAACAAACATCCCTGGTATATGTGGATTAATTTTCTGTTGAAAGTATTTCTGTAGTTAATCAGTGTAGCAGTGATTACAGCGCAAAAGTATTTTATTACCCTGTTAAATATGGGATTAAATATGGATAACAGGTGTAAGCTTTCAGCAGTTTTTAATCAAAAATAGCAAATCAGAATCACAAAAGATATTTTTTGTTTGGCTTGGAATTTTTAATCTTTGATCATTCTGAATGTTATATTATCGTATGTGTTTTGTTTTTGTTTTGATGTCCTGGAAGGTAAAAGTGGTCTGCTTGATTTTGACATCAATGCCCACTGGTTGTCGATCGCTCTAGATAAATGTAAGTTTAAATGTTGAATTAAGAATTGACATCACAGCACTTGGGACACTCCCATAAGCGCTCCATCCCTATCTTCAGCAGCGGGTGAAGAGTTTCTGTTCTGATGGTACTAGAAACTATTTGATTGTATATACTATTCCCTTTCGCTTGAGTGTTGATCATCAGCCAGATCCCATGATAACTCCCTGCAGTGCCATTCTCCTCAGACTGTAATGATCTGTCTGTGCCTCCTCACTGTTCACTCGATCCCAAGGGGCCTTCACAACATCTAGCTTGCCATACGTCAGTTTCTGCTGCAGAACTGGCCAGTCTGTCTGCCTCCTCATTTCCCAACACACCGGCATAACCCGGAGAAAATATCCAAATGACGCTAACTACCTGGGTAATATTTGCCACTCTGCACAGGGCATGCCTGTCTCCGTCTTTCTCAACATGCTGTCTGAGTCAGTAAAATCACAGGATGTATGTATAGCTAATTCCCAAGACAGCGGAAGGCGGCAGTGACTGCTTCCACCTCCATTCTCAAACTGGACATTGTGATATCATATGCCAGACTTTTTTACACTAAGCAATATCCATTTGCTTTTGCTATGATTTTACTATGCCATTCACTTTCTGTTCTGCATTGAGAACTACAGGAGTCGACCTTGATAAAAAAACCATAAGCCTATGGTGGACCTACGTGCCTGTTGGCTGAATGGCTGTGGGATATACATTCATGAACTTGGACCATTTGGTTAACAGGTGGGGCATATGGACTCCGTCAAGACATCCGCTGTCTCTTCCCTATCAGGCAGGCATTACTAGGGTGAACTTTTAATTCCTGCATCGAAATAATATTTTCTATGGATTTTATTCTTAATAATAAAAATGTGAGCCTAACATCATATACCCGACATGCGACTGGCATGTAAAGGATCCTTTACTTTTTACTTTTACATTGAAGCTGTTTTGATTTAGATTATTCTCTATATTATTAATATAATTTCTCAGTGGACAAGATTTAAAACATTCCATATAAATTAAGTTCTATTCTGAGCAAATCAAAATTTTTTATATTATTTCACAACCATGTAACGTGAAGGTTACTGAACATGTTTCACATTCCTCAACATACCAGGTGTTTGATATCCATGGTAACAGGCTTAGAAAAAGACTCACGGCTTTAGGAAAGTGGTATGAGAGCCACATTGTGGAAGAGACCAGCCCCTCACTAACTAATATTCTCACATATCAACAGCAACTAACATTATGGAGATGGCACATAAGCTATCATATTATTTTTCAAAGTAAAAGTTAAGAAGATCCACTTTGTTGCACCTGATTTTATCCCAAATAGCTTGGTCTCTCTCTCTACAGAATGGTAGCTGCCCACCGAGAGCATACCCATAGCATATCCATATCTGTAGTGGTGATGCCCAG